GGGGAGGGAAACATGGCTTGTAAGTTTCCATCAGGGCAAGAACTGTGTATGCAGTGCTGTGGGGATCCAGGAGAGAATGGCCGTCTTTTGGCCGTGTGCCTGGTATGTGTGTGTCTAGGGCAAGGATTCACAGAAGTGAGAACCTTTGCATTTGTCTCCATTTATTTCTGATTCACTAGGAACTTTAACTTTCCCTAGGGATTTGGACTAAGGCGTCTTCAAGGTTTCTTTTAGGGGAATTAAAAGTGTGACATGAAGAACGGTTGAAGAAACTTGTCTAGGCTGGAGAGTAAAGGAGAGATAGAGGTTGGATGTGGTGGGTCATACTGTAATCCCAGCATTTTGGGGGGCTGAGCGGGGAGGATCGCTTGAGGCCAGGAGTTCAAGACCACCCTGGGCAAAATACTGAGAGCCCATCTCATTTAAAAAAAAAAAAATAGAAAAAAAAAAAAAGAGAGAGAGAGAGAGAGCAGAAGGTGAGGAGAATGCCAACATGGTCATTATCCTTGCCTGGATGAAAGGCTGTTGAGTAGATGATGGGTGGACTGCATCTGCAGGGTATCAGGAGGCACAGCCAGGACCAAGGTATTCAAAGACCAATTTAGTTTAACACAAGGAACAACTTTTTAACAAGAGGGCTGGAAAATAACTAGGCAGTCCTGGGTGGGTGCTGGTGAAATCTTCTATCAGTGATGAAGCTGGAGGGAAAAGGGACACATACACACCCACACACACACACACACACATATGAAGTCCTGAGGGTGTTGCACCAACAGTGCAGTTGGCTTCCTGGTCTCATAGCTATTGCACCCTTGGAACTTTGGCCCATAATGGTTCTCTACGCCTCGTAGTACCTTTCAAGCTTTAGGCTTCTATTCCTATTGCCAATTCTCTGGAACTTCCATATTTCTCATTCAGATTCCCAACATAAGCCCCTGTTGGGCTGGCTGCCTTTGCTCCAGGTGCCCATCACTGGTCCAGTCAGATGGGAGCAGGGTTAGGATCACTGGTCTAGGTGCGGGCACCATGAACATGAAATCCAGGATCTAGCCTGATGTGATAGCATAAGAGGCCTACTGTAAAAATGCAGGTAATAGACAGAACTATACTTCCACTTGTGCATCAGTGTATGCCTGTGTACTGTTCTTTTCATGCACAGACTCTTGAAGTGCAGAGTTTGGATGGAGTTCCAAGTAAAACATGGTTGATTCCATAGCACCAAATAGGCACCTAATGTGTACCCTGTAGACACACACAGTAAGTGTTGAGCTTGACATCTTCCTGGAAACCCTTTACACAACAGAACACTAACTGAAATCCTTATGAGGTCTCAGGCTTCTTTGGCTTGAGGAAGTAAGAGGCTCAGGTTTTATAATAAAGACCTTGTTCTTATTAAATGTTCTGTAGGTAATAGGCCTTTGGGGGCAGCATCTCAGACAAAGTATTAACAATACAAAGAAGAAACCTGTGTGTGGTCAGCACACTCTCAAACTATCCATTGTACTCTTCAGCTGTATTCTTTATTAGTAATAAGCCTCAGATATTTTTCAAGTATAACATGTTACAGGGCATTAGCTCTCTGACAAAGACCAGGCCCAGTCCATGGGTGGACAGAGGAGAATGATAAACCTGGTAGAATACTTGAATATAAAGATGACAAGTACCTGTATAGAGCGTCCCCAACACCTAGCTCACAGGCTAGATGTTTGAGTAAGTGTGCATGAAAAGAAACTCATCTTTCTGGAGTAAATGTACACTTATTTCCAATTTATATGTGAGAAATAGAACTTTATGCCCAGATTTATAAATTCAAATTTGCACTTTTAAAGAACTGATCCTCATCATGGGCGTTTATGCCTTCAGTAATTGTAGTCTGCTTTATATGACTGTGGGTTACAAAATGTTCAAGATTTTGAGATTTCAGCAAAATGATAAATCATTTACATGTTTTAGAACTTAAACACCACCTTTATACTTGGCCCTTCACAATGGGATGTTGTCTAAACATAGACCTTCTTACAAAGAAACAGTACACTGTGTGGTTTATATGAGAAACATTCCTTAAGCCTTCATTCCAATATAGAGTGGCAGATTTGGCTGTGTAAACATGTGCCTGTATATATTCGGATATGAATTGTAGGCAGATTTAAATACTCTGTGGCATTGTGAAGCGGCTCATACATATAAAGAAAGATAAACACAAGCACACATATTTAATTAGCACTGCTTGATGGAGACTGTTCAAATTCTCCTTGGGTGTAAAGCATTAAAACAAATTTTAGCATTTTAAATACGGAATGCTTCTGGAAAAATAAGGGTGACTTATTTAGGTCCTTTGAAGTTGAAAATGGACTTTTCTTTCCAGGACTTTATTCCTTCCAAGTGCAAATAACAACGGCATCACTTATACCTCAATAAGAGGTCTGCTTGTGTGGCTTCCAAAAAGAGCAGCAGGAGATGTGAATAATTTTACAGTGAGGAAGTTGCAACTGCAGATTAGCCTTTGTGACAGCTTCAACCTGTGGCCCCAGATAGCCAGTGATTAATTGCCTGCCCTGGGTCCCTTCCCTTTTTCCGGCTCCAGGTTTCCCTTGAGCTTGTTTTGAGAAGGTGAATTCCGTTCTGAGGGTTCTGCGTGGGCCGGCGTGCTGTGTGGAGCCGCGTGCTGGGGGGAGCGCAGCACGGTCACACAGACCGAAGCTTTCACGGCACGGCCGGGCTCGTTAATGCGAATGAGCCTGTGTCCCGCGTGCACCGAGGAAGCCGAGCAATGCGGGCGGCCCTCTCGCCCTGCACGGCCTGCGCGCCGTGGGGTCTGCGTGCCTTTCCCTCCACCACGCTCGCCTCTCCCCGACCGCTGCCTCTGTGCTGCGGGAGGCCGCCTCGTCCCAGCCAATCAGACGCTAGTGCTCGCAGCGGGCGCCGGCCAATCCGCGGCCAGCGTTCGCTGGAAACGCGAAACCCTTAGGGGAAAAGCAATAACAAAAGCCTTTCACTGCAGACAAATGTTAAGTGTCTGTGCAGACTTTTCCTGTTTTTAATTTTATTACTGCAAGAATGGAGGGTTTGTTGTTTCTTTCATGTTTCCTTTCAAGCAATTTTAATTATACATTTGTGCTACATCAGGGACTCTGGAACGCAGTGATTCAGCCTATTGGATCTAAAGCTAAAATGCAGTAACCTTCTGGCAATACAGATATATTCCTGCACTGTAAATATAGCTGACATGCTAAAGAATTTTAAGCAGCTGCAAAAGTCTTTGACACCACACACAGTGCCCCAGAGAGCAGATGATGAGAAAACCAGCTCAGTCTTCCCCTTCGCCTCCTCTCCCACTCCCTCCCCTTTCCTGAAGGGATGTGCTCATAAAGAATCCTTTCCTCCGATTGTTCTGTCTTGTGCAAATTTTGACCAAATGCCTAATTGCCATGGATTCTCATCACAATATGAAATTTTATACTCAATGGCTTAAAAAAAAAAATGTCCTGAGGGAATTACATTGGAATCAGCTATGATTTGAGGAAATACTTGCTTTGCTCCATCCTAGCCTTTCCCCTGCTAGCCTATTGCTACAATAGACTGAATTAACACTGAGTAATAATTCAGCTGTTGCCTAAGTAATAGCAACATAGACCATATGGGAAACAATTTTAAAATCTCCTTTTGAGACTTTGGAAAGAAATCGTTCTCCAGCGCGCCGTGAGGGGCTGCGTCCCAACCATTCAAATATGTTACCTGCTGTTAAAAGGTTCCCAAGGAAATGAGTCTTACCTTGTGAGGTTTCCCTTACCATAAAGGAACCCAGTACAGGTTTTCTGTAAAATTCACAATGGCAATGGTCATGCAAGTGAGCAAACTAGCTAGAAATAGACTTTGACTAATGTCTTCTGGTGCTTCCACGAAAGACTAGGGGTAGATGCAGAAAGAAAACAAAGGCTCAATTAAATATTTTATGTCTTTACCCTGATAGTTTATGTATGTCTCAAAATCAAGATTCTATTAAAATATGCTTTAAAGAAGTGATTTTTTTTTTAATTTGACATTTGTCCTCTCAGAAATAAAGAGGATATTATATTTTGTTTCTCTGTGACATTTGGTATACTAAGCACACTTAAGTTTAGTAATTCACAGATGCAGTGCTAAATTAAATTGTCTGTCTGAAAAGCAGTTAGAAAAAGCAGAATGGCTTGCAGGAAACAAGTGTGTTAGTTTTGAGATTTCTTTTCTAATCCTCTGAGGCAAATGCTTACCAAAGTTGATTCCAAAGATAACCCCTAGAGTAAATCTATTGTGCACATTTATTTTCTTAAGAGGGCTATTTTAGGAGTCCTTAATATGAAACAAGACCAAACACTGAAACAGATATGGTACCCAGGCTGATTATTGTCCCACAAAGTCAAAGAGGGGAGGATTAGGGAAGTGAAATAATAGTTGATTGTCTGCTATCTGGACTCTTAAGTCCCCACTCTCCTCTCTATGCCTATTTTTATGCACCTGCATAATTTTTTTTCTTAATAAAAATCACCATCATTTTATATTGTTGAATTGGAAACAAAACCGATTCCTTTCAGTCACCCTCTGGTTTAAGCACTGGTAACTGGCGCTAGTTTATGTTGGCTGCTTGCCAAACGAAAGCAATTATGTGTAATAATAGAAAAATTAAGAGGTGAGTGTTGCTGTTTTACAGCAGGACATGGCAAAAACCATTTCCTTCTGTCAGCAGTATCTTGATTACACTCTCACACACTGTCTCACCCTTTTGTACCACGTGCGCACGCGCACGAATGCACAACACACATTATTTCCTGTGGGTTTTAACTTGAGGTCACTGAAACCAGAAAGAGGAAGAATGCAAACCACAGCTTTTGAAAGCAAATGAGAATAGAACTTTGCTGTCAAAAAAAAAAAAAAAAAAAAAGAAAGAAAGAATGAATAAGTGAACTGGAAATAATAGTAATCAGTGGTAACTATGATCCTTTTTCATCCCCCGCCTCCTGCAGGTGTCCTAGTGGTCAATGTCACGTGGAGGAACAAAACGTACGTGGGAACCCTACTGGACTGCACCAAGCACGACTGGGCCCCTCCCAGGTAGGAACAAGGCCTTTTATTTCTCTCCTTCCCCCATCCTCTCTTTGCAGGGAAACTATAGAGAGAGATTCATAATACATAAAAGTGTGCCTGTAATTGAAACCAGGCAAAGGAGAAATGAGCAATTTAGGACTGAACGCAGTAAAATGCAGATGCTAGATTTCTTTTCTGTCAGAAGATCTCTACTCCCCACCCCTTCTCTCCTGTCTTTGTTTTCATTTTTTTCTCAAAGTGGGAATTTGAACTGGATTGTAAGCTAGCTCCTTGAGCTGTTTTTCTTTGGTTTTTCTGAGGAAGAATATAAGCCCTTGGTAGCCTGTTCTTTTGCAGGTGTCAGAAATCGTCAGTCTTTTCCTTGACTGGGCCCAGCCCTTAAGCTACTGGAGTGTTGACTCCTCTTTGCTGCATTGTGTACTTTGTGATTTCACTTGGCTCTTTTGGGGATGCTCATTTTCACATCTGTTACTTGCTTCCATAGGTTTTGTGAGTCACCAACAAGTGACCTGGAGATGAGAGGGGGCCGGGGCAGAGGGAAGAGAGCAAGGTCTGCCGCTGCTGCCCCCGGCTCTGAGGCCAGCTTCACGGAGTCCAGAGGGCTGCAGAACAAGAACAGAGGGGGGGCCAATGGGAAAGGGAGGCGGGGCAGCCTCAATGCCAGCGGACGAAGGACACCCCCAAATTGTGCTGCTGAGGACATCAAAGCCAGCCCTTCCTCCACCAACAAAAGGAAAAACAAGCCTCCAATGGAGCTGGACCTGAACTCCAGCTCTGAGGACAATAAGCCTGGGAAGCGTGTCCGCACAAATTCCAGAAGCACTCCCACTACCCCTCAAGGGAAACCAGAGACTACTTTTTTGGACCAAGGCTGCTCTTCTCCAGTGTTAATCGACTGTCCCCACCCGAACTGCAACAAAAAGTACAAGCACATTAATGGCCTGAGGTACCACCAGGCTCATGCACACTTAGACCCAGAAAACAAGCTGGAGTTCGAGCCTGACAGCGAGGACAAGATCTCGGACTGCGAGGAAGCATTGAGTAATGTGGCACTTGAATGCAGTGAGCCAAGCACAAGTGTATCTGCTTATGACCAGGTGAAGGCACCGGCATCCCCTGGTGCTGGAAACCCGCCTGGGACCCCAAAGGGAAAGAGAGAACTGATGAGCAATGGCCCAGGTTCCATTATTGGTGCTAAAGCTGGGAAGAATTCTGGCAAAAAGAAGGGCCTTAACAATGAACTGAACAACCTTCCAGTGATCTCCAACATGACGGCTGCGTTAGACAGTTGCTCAGCAGCAGACGGCAGTTTGGCTGCTGAGATGCCTAAGCTGGAAGCAGAAGGATTAATTGACAAGAAAAGTTTAGGAGATAAAGAAAAGGGCAAAAAGGCTAACAACTGCAAAATGGACAAAAACCTCTCTAAACTGAAAAGTGCCCGGCCCATTGCCCCTGCCCCAGCCCCCACTCCGCCACAGCTAATCGCTATACCCACTGCAACCTTTACAACCACCACCACTGGGACAATACCCGGACTGCCCTCCCTCACAACAACTGTTGTTCAGGCTACACCAAAGAGTCCTCCGTTAAAACCCATTCAACCAAAGCCCACGATTATGGGAGAGCCCATCACCGTGAACCCAGCTCTGGTGTCACTCAAAGACAAAAAGAAAAAGGAGAAGCGAAAGCTAAAGGACAAAGAAGGGAAAGAGACGGGAAGCCCAAAAATGGATGCCAAGCTGGGGAAACTAGAGGACTCCAAGGGGGCCAGCAAAGATTTACCTGGGCATTTTTTAAAGGATCATCTCAACAAGAATGAAGGGCTGGCAAATGGACTGTCCGAGTCTCAGGAGAGCCGCATGGCCAGCATCAAAGCTGAGGCCGATAAGGTTTACACTTTCACAGACAACGCTCCCAGCCCTTCCATAGGGAGCGCCTCGAGGATGGAATGCAGCACTTTGGTGAACGGGCAGGCACCAATCGCACCTCTGCATGTGTTGACCCAGAATGGGGCAGAGAGTTCAGCTGCAAAGACAAGCAGCCCGGCCTATTCAGACATATCCGATGCTGCTGACGATGGTGGTTCCGACAGCAGGTCAGAGGGCATGAGATCAAAGGCCAGTTCCCCATCAGATATTATTTCTAGTAAGGACAGTGTGGTAAAAGGGCATTCTTCAACTACAGCACAATCATCTCAACTGAAAGAATCCCATTCTCCCTATTACCACGGCTATGATCCTTATTATTCTCCAAGTTACATGCATCCAGGGCAGGTCGGCGCCCCTGCAGCTGGAAATAGTGGGAGCACGCAGGGAATGAAGATCAAGAAGGAGTCTGAGGAAGATGCTGAAAAGAAAGACAAGGCAGAGCAGTTAGATTCTAAGAAAGTGGACCACAATTCTGCATCCTTACAGCCTCAGCACCAATCGGTGATCACACAAAGACATCCTGCCCTGGCTCAGTCACTTTATTATGGCCAGTATGCCTATGGACTCTATATGGACCAGAAGTCTCTGATGGCCACCAGCCCTGCCTATAGACAGCAATATGAGAAGTACTATGAAGATCAGAGGCTGGCAGAGCAGAAAATGGCCCAGACTGGGAGAGGAGACTGTGAAAGGAAAAGCGAGCTCCCCTTGAAAGAGCTGGGCAAGGAGGAAACTAAACAGAAAAACATGCCATCGGCCACAATCTCAAAAGCTCCCTCTACTCCGGAGCCTAACAAAAACCATTCTAAACTAGGGCCATCAGTGCCTAATAAAACTGAGGAGACAGGTAAATCACAGCTTCTCTCCAGTCACCAGCAGCAGCTTCAGGCCGACAGCTTCAAAGCTAAGCAGATGGAAAACCACCAGCTTATTAAGGAGGCTGTAGAAATGAAGTCTGTCATGGACTCTATGAAGCAGACAGGTGTAGACCCAACCTCGAGATTTAAACAAGTAAGATTGTGGAGCGTGGCCCCAACAGGGACAGAGCAGTCTGAGACTTGTATTATACATATCTGGGCTTGATCTGGTTAGACTTCTGACACAGGAAAGAAACCCACATTAGTTTTTTTCCTCTGCTCTTGAAAAGTATCTTAAGATTCTCAAGAGTTACTATGTAGCTCTAAAATGTGCATTATCACTATTTTCTGGTCATGTTGTATAGTAAAAGGAACTGTGAACATGTGCTTTGCAGATTTGTGTTTCATGCCACTGACTTGCTCTGTGACTCTGATGAGGTCCCTTAATTTCTTCCTTTCTTTTTTTTTCTTTTTCCTTTTCCTTTTTTTTTTTTTTTTCCCTGAGACGGAGTCTCGCTCTGTGGCCCAAGCTGGAGTGCAGTGGCGTGATCTTGGCTCACTGCAACCTCCGCCTCCCAGGTTCAAGCGATTCTCCTGCCTCAGCCTTCTGAGTAGCTGGAACTACAAGCGTGTGCCACCACCCCCGGCTAATTTTTTGTATTTTTTTAGTACAGATGGGATTTCACCATGTTAGCCAGGATGGTCTCGATCTCCTGACCTCGTGATCCGCCCACGCTGGCCTCTCAAAGTGCTGGGATTATAGGCGTGAGCCACCGTGCCTGGCGAAGATCCCTTAATTTCTTAGTCTAAGGCGAGGGCATTCCACAATGGGGCTGCTGAATTCCCTTCTAACTCTGAGATTCTGAGTCTCATCTCTAAAATATTTATTTTCCATTTTCAAATTTCTACTAGCATCTTCTTGGAAGATAATAATAACTGGGTCCCTGAATTCACATTTCCCATTAATCTTTTTAATAGAATTCGGGGCCCAAATTTCTTTCACTTGTGGTCAGAGATGCCTAGATTTCAGCCTTACTCTCTATGTTGAGTACCCCAAAACTCAGAGCTCAGTGCTGAATGTTTGTGAGGAGGGTGAGGAGGTTTGGGTGGCGGGCCTCAACAGCTGTCCCAGAGCCCCAGGGGTCAGTCAGCTTGAGAACACCTGAAAATTGGTCACCATGAAACCACAAATGTACTGGCACCTTCTGTCATGGTTCAGACATCCTGACCCACTGCAACCCTGTGAACATTAATTCTGGTATTTCCCAGCACTGCAAGCCCCCACTCCCACCCTCACCCCCATGCTTAGATACTCCCTGGTGCATTAGAGCAAGAACCACCAGCCCCCACCACTGCCACCCACACACACATTTACTTAGGCACAACTTTGCATGTTCTCTGAGAACCTGAATCCCCAGTGGGTTTCTATCATGAATGGGATGGGGATCACAAAGGCCATTTAGGATTCTCAGTTTCCCCACTTCCAGAGGCAAAAATCAGGCTGTCACTTCACAGGGATACAGAAGAATGATATAATTTTGGGGGTTTTATAGATGGCTTTGTTTTCCAATACAGAAGCCATAATGTGTGCTATTAATTTGAAATTTGTTTTGATTAAGATGTTAGCACGTAATGAGAAGTGAGCCAATATATTAAGCCTCAGCTGCAGTAGATGAGGAAAATGTATTCGGAAACCAAGAGTTTTTCCTCCTAAGTGATGTTAATAGCTATAGCAATTACTTAAATTTACTATTATTAGCTTGAGTTGGAGTTTCTAACATTCTTTTTTACCTGTGCGAGATATTAAAAGGCAAATGAAGGTAGAATTAAATATGTCTGAGGATGTTATTTAGTGTTGAGGAATGACATTAAGGGCCCAGCTCTGAATTTCAGCAGACCCGAGTTGGAAGCCCAGCTCTACGACTGGGCAGCAGCATGACCTTGACGTTGCTTTGAACTTTAAACACTTGGTTTTGTCTTCTGTACAAGGGATCAATAATAACGCCTATCTGGGACATGATTACTTTGTAAGACAAGGAGGTAAAACAATTAGCACAGTGTCTAGCACAGAAATAAATGTCAACTTAGTATTAAAATTAAGAGTACTAGTCCTGTCATGATTATTTACAAGCTTTCTTTAAAATTGAAATTTTAAAACAAATCTGTTGGGTTTTTTTCTTTAAAAAAAAAAAAAATCAGGATCCAGATTCAAGAACATGGCATCATTATGTATACCAGCCCAAATATCTGGATCAGCAAAAGTCAGAAGAACTTGATAGAGAGAAGAAATTAAAAGAGGATAGTCCAAGGAAAACTCCTAATAAAGAGAGTGGTGTGCCCAGCCTTCCTGTATCGTTAACGAGCATTAAAGAGGAGCCCAAAGAGGCCAAGCGTCCTGATTCTCAATCAATGGAGGAGAGCAAGCTGAAAAATGATGATCGAAAGACTCCTGTGAACTGGAAGGACTCTCGGGGAACAAGAGTGGCTGTCTCCTCACCCATGAGTCAGCATCAGTCATACATACAGTACTTGCATGCTTATCCTTACCCACAGATGTACGACCCCAGCCATCCTGCATACCGGGCTGTTTCTCCCGTCCTAATGCACAGTTATCCTGGTACGTGTTGTCGGTTCTGACTATATTGGAGGGAAGAGGCGATGTTCAAATATTAGCTGTTAAAAACTCAAATTAGAAGCTTCAAGAGTGACATTTGTTTTGCTTGTTTTTATGCTGTTTAAAGTCCCAAAGATAAAACTGATTTAATATAAGTTTTTTAAATGAAATGTCAGGAATCCTTAGCTATAGTTTCCATAGTCTCTGATGGTCTGCTATAGCTGTTAGGCTGACAGATACTTTATTGCCTATAAAAATATTCTAAGCACTTACTGTCATAATCATTATAGTTACTATTCCTTTCACTTAAGCAGACACGTAAATGTATGAAATGGCTGTAAGCTCAATTCTGTTTATAACCTCCCTTCATCAGGATGAATTAACTGGGAGAAGAAAACTGCAGAAGCTAGATACAGTTTAATGATGATGTAGCCCATTGTTAATGTAACCCCCTATTTTAAGATCTCTTTGACTCTTATTCCAAATTCATGTAACCCAAATTATTATTTTTTTTAAAGATATAGCCTGTAACTTGATGTGGCATTTGTTTTTTATCTGCAGGGGCCTATCTCTCTCCAGGATTTCATTATCCTGTTTATGGGAAGATGTCAGGGAGAGAAGAGACAGAGAAAGTCAATACCAGCCCTAGCATCAACACGAAAACAACCACTGAATCTAAAGCACTGGATTTGCTCCAGCAGCATGCTAACCAATACCGCAGCAAGTCTCCTGCTGTAAGCCTCCTTTTGTTGTTATTTAAAAGTACTGTGTTTTGGGGAGAAAGGGGAACAAGCTACAGAACAGTCTTGAAATATAAATGGTTTCGGAACCCAGCTGTGATTTCAGGATGCTGTTTTATCCTAATACATAAAGAATGGAGCGTTCAAAAGTAAGATGCTTTCACACATGAGAGAAAATTGTTAAAGCATGTATGGCAGTAGCTAACTTTTCTGTTGCGAAATCTAGTATACCTTGCTTACCCAGGAGGATGGTTGTTAGCTGGGAATTTAAATTCATAGGAACCAACTTTTGGTGTAAAATATGTTTGATAAGGCATTGAGGAATTAGGTAACAGAGGAGTCTATTTTATATAATTTTTGTAAGTAAGCAGGTCAGAGGCTATAAACTGTTGACCTTTTGGGCAAATCAAGCTTTTCAAAAAGTGTTTTCTTGCGGGACAGCTTTTAAAAATCAGATATTTTACATACAAATTCAGATGACCTCTTTCTCTTAAGACAATAGAAAATCTGGGCCTGGAGTGAGCTACCGCCTGTAATCCCAGCACTTTGGGAGGCCGAGGCGGGCAGATCACTTGAGGTCAGGAATTGGAGACCAGCCTGGCCAATATGGTGAAACTCCATCTCTACTAAAAATACAAAAAGTAGCCGGGTGGTGGTGGGCACCTCTAATTGAAGGTACTCCGGAGGCTGAGGCAGGAGACTCACTTGAGCCCGGGAGGCAGAGGTTGCAGTAAGCAGAGATCGTGCCACTGCACTCTAGCCTGGGTGGCAGAACAAGGCTCTGTCTCAAAAAAAAAAAAAAAAGACAATAGAAAATCTTGTTCAAAATCACATGGCAGTAACTGATGGGAGCCAGTAGCCCCATCTGGGCAGTCTGTCCCGCTCCCCATCAATGTGCATGGGTGTAAATAAAAGCTCCCCAACCTGCATCGCTTGTCTTTGTTATTAGCTTGACTTCTGGAGAGATTTGAGGTTTCTCCTACTTGAATTGACCCTCCATATTCACATCACCAGTGTTCATGGTTGGAGGTTCATCACGAGCAAAGCTGAGTGCCCATGACATGTAATAAGGCACAGATTTGAGCCTTGCACAGTGTGAGGCTCATTTCCAAGAGTAAGTCATGTGGTTTAGGGGTGAGAGCTGTGTCTGCTGTTTTCTGGCCTTAACTCTTTGTCATGTCCCTTTAACTCTGCTGAATAATACAAATATTTGTCTGTGAAAGATGACTGTTCCCCAAAAAAGGTGACTGCTGTAGTCCTAGAGACTGTTGTGAAGAGAGACTAAACAAAAATAGGATAGTGCTTGGCTAGGAAAGAGTTTAAAGTAAATTAAAATAATAGTATCTGCAATGTGTATGAGTCTACCAGAAACTCTATAGAGAAACTAGAAAAGGTGATTTCGGAATCTTTCTGAGACCTTCTTCTTAGTATAAGGATTTCTTTTAAGTGAGAAGGATAACTTTAGTTAAAGGGTGGTTAGGTTCTAAAGGTAGAAAGTCATAGGAAATAAACCATCATTACCCCAGACTATGGTTTGGGGAGATGGGAGCTTCTCTGTGAGAGTTCAAAAATTGAGAGCTTCAAAATGTGGGTGTAGGACAGTGATTTCTTGTGCTTTATATTGGCATATAACTTTAGGGCATGTTTTTTCAGTAGAACAAAATGTATACAGACACGTTTAAAATTGTGAGATAGGTTCTCTCCATAAAATACAAGTGTAATTAGAAAACTTGACCTTACAGGTATCTCCAAAACTACTTATTTTCTAAAAGTTGTTTATGGGAAGCAATTGGGTACATTCTTAACCTGCAATTATGAATGAATATAGAGAGAAGTCCTCTTATTTCCGTCATTTCAGGAAAACATTGGTGTCACTCGGTTTATTTTGGGTGGAGCAGTTCTTTTTGTGTTGGCTTAATTCCAACGGAAACTAATGCATGTTTTTTTGAAATTCTCTTTAGTTACTAAAGATTGTATCTTTATATTTACTTTTTAATCATTAACACAATATTGTCAAAGGGACAAGGGTGGTTTAGTACTCTTATAAGTTGATTTTCAGAGCGTGAAGGGGGAAAATTTCTCTTTTTTGTTGCAGCCTGTGGAAAAGGCTACAGCTGAGCGGGAACGGGAGGCGGAAAGGGAAAGGGATCGCCACTCCCCGTTCGGCCAGCGGCACCTGCACACGCATCACCACACCCACGTTGGCATGGGTTACCCGCTCATCCCGGGTCAATATGACCCTTTTCAAGGTCAGCAGCTCTGTCATTATTGTGTCTTTGTCCATTCTGCTTTGGAAAACAGTTGCTAAAATTGCATTTCACATCTTAAAAATATTGAGCTTTGAGTTCACATTAGCTCTCAGGAGGGTTTTTAACACTTATTTCCTAGTGACACAGCTAAGGCTATTCCCTCATCTTTGTATTCTATTGAGGCATGAAATGGCTACCACTTAATAATTGTCACCAGTTGATGTTATCGGTGGCTTACTGTTATCTCACAGACTGAGGGTGGTGGCCAGTGTCTGGGGCACTGAATATAACAATCAGAAGATCAGATATCTACTTCAGGGAAATTGTAGAAAAAGGGAGGGATGGTGGGAGGCTTTGGTGAAATTACTTGTTCTGATTTCTGCATGCCTTTTAAGTTGCTCTTTTCCCATGGAAATCATGAGAGTAATGTGATCAGGTTTAACACTTTGATAACCTCATTCAAGGGTTCTTCACAGCCCTTCACTGCTGCGACTTCACTAAATGGGAGAATTGAGAAAGAGAAACATGTTTTAAGCCATAGGATTGATATCAGGGAATCTTCACCTTGTGGTTCATTAGTTGAGCATGTATTATTTGTCCCATCTTTGTCATCTCATAGAGGGTGGGTGATGGCACCATCTTTACAATTTGCTAGAATACCCCAGATTGCATGGCTTTAAACAACAGGAATTTATTTTCTCACAGTTCTGGAGGCTGGAAGTTCAAGATCAGGGTTCCAGCACAGCCAGCCTCTGCTGAGGCCTGTCTTCCTGGTTTGTGTGCAGCTGCTGTCCTGCTGTGTGCTCATATGACCTCTTCTTTGTGCATGAGCTGGTGGGTGGGGAAGAGGCAGGGGGAGCCCTGGTGTGCTTTCTTATAAGGACACTAATCCTGCCCTATTAGGGTCCCACCCATATGACCTCATTTAACCTTAATTACCCCCTTATAAGCCCCATCTCCGAATCTAATCACATTGTGGATTAGAGCTTCAACATTTTGAGGAGACATAATTTAGTCTATTGCACTTGCCAAGTTGCCTCTTATGCTGCTGTGTGAATAGAAAGTAAGATAATATGTTTGAAAGTGTTTCCAAAACTGGGAAGTGATATACAAATGTGAAGGGGTCATTTTTATTTATTCAAGTCTTTTTAGTTGGTGTCAACTAATAGTGTTTAAAGAGAGCTTTTCTATTTCTTAAACAATTTGTATTGAGTGTGGTAAGTACTTGGAAGAGAAAGGTTTTATTTCTAGTCTAACACATTATACCTATATGTAAATAAAGTATAGATGAGAAGAAAATAATTATCTCTTTTAAGATAATATTATTGTTATTGTACTGTCTTAAGTTACCTCTGGGAAAAGAAAATATATCCAAATAAAAGACATAGAAAGAGACAGTTATCTTCCCTGGGTTTGCATTTGTTTACTCTATTTTTCCCCAGGACTGTCTTCTATAGAATTTAAAAGAATTCTCTGTTAGGCAACATCATGCCATTTGGAGCTATTAAGTCTCTGACTGCTACCTTCGTCTTGCAGGGTGAAAGTGAAGAGCATTTCTAAGTTTGATTTACTGATTCTGTGTATCTTATGGGACGCATTGTGTTCAGTCACTGGGGAAAATGTTAAAGTGATAACAATTATTATGGAAGTATTGTATTCTAGGCAAATAGCATGCCGCTTCTGTAATTCACTGTGACTTTTGATTCCTGTTGTTACCTGGCATCTATTATTTCTCTTGAGCTTCCTATTCAGGAATGCATGCAAACCATTTAGCACCATGCAGAGCTGGAGAGATGGAATGCTGTATCTCCTTCGAATAGCTATTAAGAAAACTGTAGAGTATTCAAGAAAGGATAGATAGCGGATAGACCACATGGTTTGTACCGTGTCCTTGCTGCATGAAAGAGTTCATGTGTGTGTTCAGGAGAGGACACCGTGCTGCTACTGGGTCTGTGGCCCTTCCCCACTGGGCCTGTATCTACTCTTATCCTTCTAAAGATCGCAGACAGTCTACATTTTTTTCCCCATTAGGCTTGACCTCTGCTGCCCTTGTTGCCTCACAGCAGGTGGCTGCCCAGGCATCTGCATCTGCAATGTTTCCTGGACAAAGAAGGTAAATATCCTCTACATTTTTAATTAGTTCTAGATAGAAATATCTTAATGGTTGGGAGGAAGCAAGTACAGGATTTTTAGAACAAAAACTGAACTCCTTGGGTTTTATATCCTTGTAATGAATGTGTTTATTTATGCCAGTGTAAGTTGCTTCACATGCAACTTAAATTCCATGAACCCCGTTCCGTAAGGGTTACGTAGATTAGTAATTAACTGATTAGTTTTTTAGGCAGTTGAAATTTTCTTGGGTTATCCTTACAACATTGCTAAAATAATTCACCATGACTCCCTTTGTTTTATTATGTTTAAAGATAAAGTCGCAAATGGAGACATTTATTTTCATAATACTAAAGGTAATGTTTGTTCTTTGATATTTTAAATTATTCCCTAAGTTTTAAGAAGGAAAATGATTTAAAGGAATTAAATTGTTAGTATTATAAAATTAATATTTTTCACAATGCGTATCATTACTTTGTGTTTATTCACTTTCTCTGGAATTGAATTCTACATTTGAATGGAATTAAAATAAGTCTTATTAGTCTTATGGTTTTCAGGCTTACAGTGACAAATATTGACAGAGGCTGGGCATGATGACCCATGCCTGTAGTCCCAGCACTTTGGGAGGCTAAGGCGGGTGGATCACCTGAGGTCAGGAGTTCCAGACCAGCCTGGCCAACATGGTGAAACCCCGTCTCTACTAAAAATACAAAAATTAGCTGGGCGTGGTGGCGTGCGCCTGTAATTCCAGCTACTAGGGAGGCTGAGGCATGAGAATTGCTGGAACCCAGGAGGCGGAGGTTGCAGTGAGCCGAGATTACACCATTGCACTCCAGCCTGGGTGATGGAGTGAGACTCTGTCTCAAAATTAAAAAAAAAAAAAAAAACCATTGGCTGGGCATGGTGGCTCATGCCTGTAATTCCAGCACTTTGGGAGGCCGAGGCGGGCGGATCACCTGAGGTCAGGAGCTCGAGACCAGCCTGACTAACATGGAGAAACCCCCTCTCTACTAAAAACACAAAATTAGCCAGGCGTGGTGGCACATGCCTGTAATCCCAGCCACTTGGGAGGCTGAGGCAGTAGAATCGCTTGAACCCAGGAGGCAGAGGTTGCCGTGAGCCGAGATCAAGCCATTGCACTCCAGCCTGGGCAACAAGAGCAAAACTCCGACTCAAAAAACAAACAAACAAACAAACAAACAAAGTGTTGATAGAATCGTGTGCTAAGGTTTGCTTTTCTTTTGCAGAGAATAACAAGATTGGAAATGTACATTGTCATGTGACTGGATCACATGGGGAAGCGCTTTATACAGACATCAGTTCCATGGTGTTAATTTGAAATGCCTTAATGGCAGGCAAAAACCAGTCATTTCATTTTTGTAAATTACAGATTTTATCACAGAGTAACAAATGTTGCTGTAATTAAACTTCTGTTTTATATATATATACGTATACATATCTGTATATATACATATATATATATATAAAAATATAAATATATTCTTTACTTTTTGTATCAGTAACCAGGCTCGCACACACAGGGTCTGCTGCCACGTTGCAAACCACTCAGTAAAGGAAATTAAAAATGTATTTGTCATGTTGAAAAGTGTTAGCCACAAAAGGCTACTTACTTTCTTTTCCTTTTCCTTTAAAATTGTAAATAAATAATGTTATGTATCAGTGTGCCTGAACCTTGCATATCCTTCACATATTTCCCATAAGCCCCTCAGAAAGGCTAACTGTGATGATGACACTTTGGTACAATTTAGATGTCTATTTGGTGGCTCCTGTTAAAGACGCATCAGTGTAAAATGTTCCTGTAGTCACTGTTTGTACTTGTGTATTGTGGAAAAAGTACTTTTGGAAGGCATGGGGTTGCCAGTACCACAAAAACTGTGTTGTACATAATGTAAAGATTAAAATGGGGAAATAATGAGCATCTGTGAATAATGAGGTGTCATTTTTTGATAATCTTGAATGGCAAATAACCCAATAGCCTGCGTACCAGAGACATCTGTGATTGTTCTATTACTTGAATAGTTCTACAGTCTTTTTTTTTTTTTTTTTTTTTTTAATGTTTACAATTATCCAGTTTTAGAGGAGAGAGACTTTAACGCCATTGCCTGGTTACTTGTTTTATGCTGTAATCTAGTTTATTTTATGTAAAATGTATATTGAATGCTTTCCTTTTTTATACCTGCCTTAAATAATTTGGCAATCAGAATTAAAAAGTTTTTTTTTTTTAAATAACGGCTTCTTGTCTGTCTCATGTTATTTTCTGCCTGATAGTCATTCTAATTTTCAAGAAAGGGTTTCTTAATATTATTAATATCCAATGCATAAGATACAGTAAACAGATAATAACTTTTCTTATAGGATACATAAGTATAACAACCAAATGGTGTATTTAATTTGGTGAATGTATTCCCATTTACAGGGTATTTACCCTAAACATGAAGTACGATATCACTGGAAATTAGTAGATACAGGTTTCTGTGGTATGGAATGATACTTCAAAGATGCAAATGTTATAACGTGGATAATAGGGAAAATATGTAAAAAGTCATTTAGTTAGTTAGCTGTCATTACATTGATTTACTAGAATATTTTATGCCAAATTTTAACTGCCTCTTCTCTCCCTTCTTTGCTTTGAATAAACACTTACTGAGTGCCTGCTTTATCCCAAGCACTGCCCAGGGTTCTGGCATACTGCAGTAAATAAAGCAGACACAAATTCCTGTCTTCATGGAGCTTTCATTTTTTGGTGGTGGGATAAACGTATCATAAAATATCTGGTATATAAAGCATGTTAGATGGTTGATGAATGCAATGAAGAGAAACGAAGCATGGGAGTGGGGCATAGTGAATGTGTGCTGGAGTTTGTAACTGTAAACAGAGTGGCCACTAAAGAGATGAGGGAGGGATCCATGCAGACATCTGGGGGAACATCACTGCAGTGACGTGGAAAAGCAAGTACTGAAGCCCCAAGGTGGGAGTGTGCGTTGTATGTTTGGACTGGTTGATTTCAGTGCTTCATTCCAGCTGTAAGTTTTTATTATTTTACTGTAATTGCTAATGACAGTGCTACCACGTGGTTTACTAAAAAGTTCTTTAAGCTGACAGAATTTGTCTTGGTGTAATTTGGTTAGTTCTACCTAGAGGCCTTTGCGTCGCAAATGAATAGAATTTTGCAATCAAAAAGAAATGTTTCCCTTGATTTTGAAAGACCACCTTAACGTGTTGCCTTTGCTGCTTGACTTACACGTCTAGTCTATGTTCTTAATAGAGTTCAGGAGGAAGATACTTTTCTGTTAGTTTTCAGTTTTTCTTTTGAATTTCATCCAAGTTGTCATTTATAAGAACATTGTTTATGGTGTTTAATCCTACACATAAGAGTATTTCACATATTTTTCATCATTTTTAAGCTATCAAAGCTTTCTCATTTTTATACGACATCTTGATTCTCCTTGAAGACTTGAGGTAATTTTCTTATACCAGTTAAGCAAGTATGTTTTCTTTGTTCAGAATATAGTTGGCATCTGTTGGTTGCCTACATGCTGATTCAGTTCTTGACCAACCCCTTAACTGTCAAAGCACAGAAGCAGAACTAAGGTCAACTTATATCTTCACCAGCTGAATTTTCATGTTCTTGTTGGTAGCTGGGTGATACTCTGGACTCCTGATGATTTTCTTGCTCTTAATAATATATATGGAAGTCAATCTTCCCTTTCAGTTGCAAAATGACTAGATGTATGTTTATTACATACCAGGCTTTTTAAAATCACTTCTAATTAGGTGGTTAAGTAAATAGGTTATAAATAGCTGCATTGGACCATGTTTAACTCTGCTACTGTAATAAACAGGAATGCTGATAAATACAAAGAGATATATGACCAAAAGCACATTGCAATTTGAATAGGCTCTTCCCCTAGGCTTTTACTGGAACATTATTCATGACCGGTTTACATTAATCACTAAATGAAGTTTTGTTTCTTCCTCTTACTGTTACAGTGTTGTCTTTACTGATGGCAATATGAATTGCCAAAGGCCAGGGCTTATTTATATTATGTGTGCCATTTCTCTGGCTGAGTATATAGTCAGTACCGAATGGTAAATTAAAGAGTCCCAAAAGACAAGCATACTTGGCTCCATTATATTACTATGATGAATCTGCCATTAATACGTTCTAATTGTTTTACTTTTATAGACATAAAATCAGTCCCTTTAGTGACTAATAATAGGGTTTATTGATTTTACTAAACATTACTCATTCCAGGCCTGCTCATATCAGCTTGTCCTGAACATATGCAAAAAGCCTGCAGTGCTGACACAGTGCAAATTAACTTCATGGAGAAATGGGAGTGAAGAGTTGTTTACAGCTGTGGTCCCGTTGAATACAGAATATTAAAAACCAGGTAATAGGCTCCGTATAGAACCATTCATTCCTAGATTGCAATCTCAGATGGCTTTTTCATGGAAACTTGCCATTGCTGTTCAGCCCAGGTCATTAACACTTGCAGAGTAAAAAGTGTGGCCTTATACATTCACACTGGCTGTGACCCTGATTTAGTGTGGTTTCAGCCCAAGGGTCTGTGAGTAACCAGAATGAATGGCTCTGATTGATGCAGGATAAAAACAGCAGTTTAAATGATAATTACTGGTCATTTCATTCCTTCCCTGACTCTGAAAAAGAGACAAGACAGGCAAAGCCATTTATTATTGTTTTTGTCACTAACCACAGTCATCCATTCCCTGCTTCTTGCAGTAGCCTGAGTCATAAATGTTGTTTACTTTCAGTTAACTTTAGAAGAGAAAACAAAGCAAAGCCCCCAGTCTGACTTTTCATTTTTCTTGACAAAATCACTTTTTTAAGCAAGGGGTGAGTTCTCAACCTTGGCACTATTGACATAGGAGACCAGATAATTCTTTACTGTTCTGTGCATTGTAGTATATTTAGCAGTACCCCTGACCTCTACTCTGGAGATGCTAGTAGCAACCTCCCCAACAAATTGTGACAACCAACAGGTCGTATGAAATTTAGAACTCATGCCTAGGCCCTGCCCCACAGGTAGAGTGCTGAGTTCTATTGTTCTTTGTTGCTTTTAGAGATAGGAGAGCCATCGATGGTTCCTTGTAACTAGAATGTAAATAGAATGGGGATACTCATTCGACCAATGTGGATAAAGTTGGACCAGACCTCCACCTCTTTAAAAAGAATTGGATGACCCAGATTTTAACATAATAATCAGTAGTTCTTTTAGGTTGAAGATGAATTCAATTTTAAAACCACATCTGAGGGCCAGATTCATTTCACAGCATGTCAATTAGCAACGCTAGCCCACTAAAAATACATATTATTTTTTCTGGAATGAAGGCTGTCTGTGGAAAACCTGGAAAAAATGGATAAATCTTAATTGAGCTGCTGGGATGGAACTCAGATTTTCTTCACACAGGAAGAGGCATTTCTTTCATATACAGGAACAAACTTTGAGAGATTCTCACATACACTATACATTTCAGTGAAGTTTTTTTTTTTTTTTCACTTAGACATTTGAAAATAAAATGAAAGGAAACATCAAAATCTGCAATATGGAGAAAGTTAAAGTGTCCAGGGCTATCAAGAGCACATGGCACGATAACACCCATGGACAAGTCTAGGTTTAGGTCTGATCAGACTGGCCTGACCCTTGGCCAGCTGTTGTCATGTCCCTGTCGGTAATACCTGGAATGGCAAGTAGTACAATGGAACAAAGCTTCTTTCCTGTGTCCATAACAGACGTGGCTAATCATTGCAGCGTTCTCTCCACCTGAATGTGTGTGAGACCTCTTAACTTCCTCAGTACAGCTTTCCCAGTAGCCCCTAAAAAACAGACCAAAGTTGACGTGCAACACGAAGGCTGTTGGCCACCTCTGCAAGAAACTAAATTCTTATGGGACTAAATCATGACCCCTAGAACTTTCAAGGGTGTCACCCTCACACCCCCCAATTTCAGGCAAGGAGACTTAACATGGCACTCTTCCTCCTTTCAACTATTGGAAACTTTGGAAGTTATTTATTTACCTTCAGTGTTTCAACCAACCATGATTTCTTTAGTCAGAAAAGTTGGGGAATGAGAATTGTTACTTACTGACCCAAATTTCTACTGATTTATGGAAGTGTTATTTTTTTCTCTTTTACTTTCATGCTATCATCACGTCTTCTTTGGCTCTCCTGCCACCCTCTTATAATGATCTTTGGTTAGATAGAGTCCATCCAGATCATCCAGTATCATCTCCTCGTCTCAACGTCACCCAATTAGCAATTTTATTTCCATCTACAATCTTAATTCCACTTTGCCATATAACAACAGGATCACAGATTCTGGGGATTAGGACATGGACATCTTTGGGGGCTACCACTCTGCCTGCCACACCACCCAACACAGATTCCTTTCTGCCTGGGCAGTATTATTAACACAATAATAATAGTATAATAGTTCTACTATATAATATAAAATATTACAACTGGTATAATGACCATCATCAAAATTATAGTATATTTGCTTTGCACTTCACATGTGACAACTCATTTAGTTCTCATAGCCACCCAATTACTATTCCCATTTTAGAGCTGGAAAAACTGAGGCACCAAGCTAAAGTAATTTGCCCAAGTTCACACCACTATGTGAGTGACAGGACCGTAACCACTATGCTATACTGCTTCAGAGAAGGGATAATACACTCCCTAGGGAATCGACAAGATTTTCCATTGCTAAAGTGCTTATTTCAGAGGGGCAAATAACGGTGTGTCTCTCCAAGCTGCTATGAGACAAAGCCCCTGTACAGCCTCTGCTGGAGCCAGGTGTCAGACCCTTGTTAAACTCCACATTTGAGGCCCAGGATCCTGAGAGCCTAGTGGCTCTTCAGTGCATTGCTGGCAGAGGTTGCTGAAAGGGTTACCTTTTTTTGTTTTCTCATTGTCATGGTGGCCCTTGCTTTTTCAATACTCTACCATATGTATCTGATGACTAGAAGCTCAGAATACAAGACCTGGGCTTCATGGGAACTGGTGCTTGGGTGTCAGAGGCTGGTGGGAAGGCTGATACTTTTGTGATTCTGGCAGAGACTATCATGGGCTCCTACAAAGGGTCATTCCAACGTTCTGACAAAGGGCCCCAAATTTGTACTTGTAATTATCTACAAATGATGTCATTCTTACTGTCTCGGGGGATTTTTGAAAATATTAGAAAGAAGGATGTTCAAACCTCAGC